CCCGCCCGAAGTCCCCGTCGGCCGAGGGGCGGGGCTGCCGGGCCGGGAGACCCCGGAGGCCCCAGCTGTCTCATCCCCAGTCTGGGCGGCCTCCTCAGCGCCAGTGCCTGTGCGTCCGATTTCAGCAACATTTATTGAGTCCCTACTGTGTGCACGGCACCAAAGCAGGCTCTTGAGTGGGTGGAGGTGGTGGAGAGAGGGTCCCCAGGACAAGGGACCCCACACAGGGGCCAATGGGTAAGAACACGGACTTCCACGTCTCCACCACCCCGTCCCCCATCACTGGCCCTGCTGCGTGCTCCCCGTCTGTCTCTGAACCCTTCTCTCACCCGGAGATACTCCCGCCCAGCCCAGGGGGAGCCAAGAGGCCAACAGAGGGGCTCGAAAGTCGCCTGTCTGCCCGGCCCCTCCTCACACCTACCAGTCAGGGGACCTGGCACTCCTGACCCTCCCAGAGAGTGTTTGTACTATCTGTGCTGTGTGTGTCCATTAGACAACCTCCCTTCCCGACCCCTCCCTCTGCTGGGGCCCCTCACTTGTGCCATGGAGGGGGCTCCAGGCCTGGACCATGACTTTGCAGTTGCTGGCTGGAACAACGGTGGGAGGGTGACACTGGCTTGTCCGACTGGGACATAGGGGTCTGTGCGACCGTCTTCCTGCCTGGGATGTCCTGTGTTTCAGACATAGCAGAGATCAGCGCACACAAGGGCCGTTCCACACTGAAGTGACCCCTGCGGGACTCCCTCCCAGCCCTATGTCCCCCTGCTGGACAATAACCGTGACGGAGAATCACTTAGGCTTCTGTCCTGCTTCTATGGGACCAAATGCTGTGTGTTACCTGTAACAACCCCAGCCTGGCTTGGGTCCAGGGTTGTGAGTTTCCAGAGTCCACACTCTACCATGGAGCCCTTTTGCAATCTTGAAGGAGGAAGACAGCTGAGTCCCAGGCTCACCCTCCATCCCCCTGGGCCTGTCCCTCCCCAGCCTCTGGGCCCTGCACACACCTGTTTCCCAGGGGTCAGGCACAACCAGCCCAGCCAGTTCCCCATGCGGGCAGCAACAACAGGCTCAGCCTGATTCTAGTGACTCCCTCACCTCCTTCCAGTGCCTCTGGCATGGCCTCTCCAGCCCCTGCCCGAGCACAGGGCCCACCCCTGAGCAGCCTCCTGGGCCAAGGCCCCCTGGGTGCCCACACCCCGGCTGCTGCCCCTAAAAGCCACTCAGTCTGCATAGCTGCTCCTTCACCCCTCCTCTGCAGTTCCGGCTGATGCTACCAGAGTCTCCGACCTGGCCGGCCGCCGCCTGTCTGTCTGTGTGTCCAGAGGCTGTGTCTCCTTGCCTAACCTCTGACTGGTCCTCTCTGGGCCCAGCCTGGTGCTGCTTCCCTGGGAGGCTGGGAGGCTGGCGCAAGCCCACCAGATACCACATCTGTGCAACCAGGATCTAAGAGCGCCCCAGGGCCCGGAGTAGTCTGATGGAGGAGGCCCTAAGCAAGGCTTGGTTATCCTACCGGGGCCATTAATGCCCATCAGGGCTGCAGCGCCGTCCAGGAAGCTCTGGGCCATTACCAGGCCGTCAGACTAATGGTTCCACCCCCAGGACTTGCCAGATTGTAGCTGTGACAGGGGAGGTGGCTGGGTGGGAGACCCCAGGCCAGGGGCTGGGGAAGGTAAGGGCACCTGATCCCCTGGGTCAGGGGGCTTGGCGACTGCCCCTCTGTAGAGCATACTCTCATAGCCCAGCCTTGAGGCCCTCCCTGGCCTTCTGCAGCCCAGGACTCAGCTGTCCCCCACCCCACCCTACACACCCCCACCCCATGACAGAGGATGGAGTGGGAGAGTCTGGGCTGAAGGGTAACTAGGGGCATGTGGTCCCAGAGGGGGCTAGGGACCAAGCAAGCGTGAAAGGAGCACTGCAGTCCTAGATTAGCAAAGGCAGCTCCAAAGGCAAAAGGAGCTGAGGAAGTACTCAGGAAGGTCACCCACTAACAAATGGGAGTAACAAAGGGGGCGGGGAACAAAGGCATGGGCTCCTGCAGCAAGAGAGGAACCAAAGGGGGGGTAGCAAAAAGAAGAGGAGCCCTGGTGGCGCAGTGGTTAAGCCATCCGCTGCTATCGGAAAGGTCAGTGGTTCGAACCCGCCAGCCACTCCTCGGGAGAAAGATGTGGCAGTCTGCTTCCATAAAGATGTACAGCCTTGGAAACCCTCTGGGGGCAGTTCTACTCTGTCCTCTAGGGTCACTATGAGTCTAAATTGACTCTTGGCAGGAGAAGAGAGTAAGCTGGGAGGTCCCCCAGTAGCAGAGGTGAGGAAAGGTGGCCCTGGGGCTGTCATGGCCACCCCTCCCAGGCCACCCACCAGCCCAGCCTGGCTCTGAGGCTGCCCCTTAGGCACAGTGGCGTGGAGTGACGGAGGAGTACGAGAACAGCAGAGACAAAGGCCTGGAAGTATGAACTCAGGTGCCGAGGGGCTGTAGCTGTTTGGGGTTGCAGGGCATGGGGCAGGCGAGATGGCCGGGAGGTCCTGGGGTCAGCGCCATCTGGCCATAGGGCAGGGGCCCTGTGGAAAGTGGACTCTATTTTGCTGTCTCTGGGTGAATGTGGCCCAGCCCCTCAGGCAAGCAGCAGGCAGAAAGGGCGCCAGGTCAGTGGTGATCAGAGGCCTTGTTGTCGACCACCCCCACACCACCCTGCCACCTAGCTGCCCAGGCTGTCACACGCTTCTGTCCCTTCCCTCCTCTGGGCTTTGGGAGGGTCCACCTGCAGTGAAGGTTGCGCCTGTGCTGAACCCCAGGCCCTCCTGTCCTGGGGCAGGGGGCTTTGCTCTGAGCATGGAACCTACATCCCTGCGGCAACTGCCCACCCAGCGATGGGGCGGAGCCTGAGGGTGAGGGGACTCAGGGTGTGGCTGTTGGGTGGGCAGAGGCCTGGTCACTGCCAGAAGGGGGCTGGGGGCCCTGGCTTGGGGGTGGAACCATTAGTCTGACGGCCTGGTAATGGCCCAGAGCTTCCTGGACGGCGCTGCAGCCCTGATGGGCATTAATGGCCCCGGTAGGATAACCAAGCCTTGCTTAGGGCCTCCTCCATCAGACTACTCCTAGAGCCCGAAATTGGAGCAGTCGGGGCCAGCGCGATGGAAAGAGATTAAGAGACGAGAGGAAGAGAGAAGGGGAGATGCGGCAAGGACCAAAGAGGGAGGAGAGTCAGAAAAGAGGCAGAAAGGGAGCTGAGGTAGGGGAGAACAACGGCCAAGGACGCCTGGACAACCCTGCCTCGCCCACCCGTTCTGGCCCCGCCCCTAGCCCCTCCCACCGCCGTCTCCGGGAACAGCAGCCGCGCGGCGCCACCTGTCGGCTCTGGGCTGGATTGCATCTTCCGAGTGCTGCCCCGGGTGCCCCTCCTCCGTCCAGCCCTGGGGCTGGGAATTGGGGTGAGACCGGCGCCCTAAAACTAGTTGGACTTCAGGGGCATATGGGGTGTCATGGAGCACGGAGTGACTTCTGCCTGGCCCCTAATCTGCTCTGCGCCCCCCCCCACCTTGGACCTGGCACCGACGTCTCTGGGCTGGGGTACCTCAATGCCCCGTGAAATCTGCGCACAGTGACCTGGGCAGTTCGAGGTCCAGAACAGTTGCGTGAAGTCAGAGGCCAGACTAAAGAGGGTTGAAGAGGGAGGGAGAGGGCGGAGGGGACCAGACTCTTGAGCGGGGCTAGAGCGGAAGCCCCGTGGAGGGAGGAGGCAGTTCGAGAGAATATAAGAGGTGTGTGTGTCGGGGGCGGGGTTCTGAGGAGGAAACCACGGTGAATGAGCAGAGCCGGGGGTGTGGGGGGGTCGGTGGCACGGAGAGCAGGGAAGGCTGAGTGGGCTGCCTGGGCTTGAGGTCGGAGCTGTAAGGCCGCTGGGAGCTGTGGGTGAGGAGGTCCGGCTCAGCGGGATGAGTTCCCACCTTCTCCTCCTGTACACCTCAGCGGATGGCAGTAGGGCCCAGGATCTGTCTTGCCCCTCCCCGCGTGGAGTCACTTCTCTCCCGGAGACACTGGCACCTGGCCTGGCGACCCCCACCCCTGCACAGGAAGCGGCACTGGCAGAAGAAGTAGCCCAGTTTCCGGCAGCGTCTCTGCCCCACCAGCCCCCTTCCCCCCCACGGACCTACGGATCCCGGCAGCTGGGTGGGTGGGGCTTCCCCTGGACAGCGAAGGGGCTCCTGACATTTGCTAGGGCGTGGGAGCGGCTACTTGTGCCCCGCTGCTAGACGGCAAAGTACACAGCGCGGAGGAAAGGGTCACACTCAGCGGCGCGGGAACCAGGCGGGGTTTATTGACGAGACGGCTGGCCTGCGCAGAGCTGCGCGCCCTGGCGGCCGCAACAACTCCTCCGGGTCAGGCTCTGGGGGCGCTGCGGGCAGGGGCTGCGCTCAGGGTGGCCCCAGGGCAAGGCGGGGACCGGCGAAGGCTGCTCGCTGCGTAGACAGTGGCTGGGCGGGCGGCGTCTCTCTGAAGGCTCTAGAAGGAATAGGGAAGGGCTGTGGGGAGGGGGCGGTGCGCCCTCCGCTGCCCTGGCCCCAGGCTGGAAAAGTAGAGACGCGCGGGGTTGGATTTTCTCCATCTCGGCGCTGGAAGGACTGAGGGTGCTCCGCCGGCGCGCAGACGTGCCCTCCGTCTCAGACCACCGAGACCCCTCGCCCGCTGCTGTCCGGGGCCCGGGCCCCTCCCTCTCCCCTATGTACCTGGCAATTGTCGCTGAGGTCCAG